AATCAAGCGTTAATAGGGAATCCACCATACCGTACTCATTGTCATGATCACAATAGTACTCTCAAAGCAATGGCTGACTGCATATGGTGATAATTATATTCTATTGAAAGCCTCATTAGTTTTTGTTCTAAACAAACTAAATGTTATGTACAAATTGCAAATGCATTCACTACGTTTTAATTAGTGTTGTTCACTGAACCATTGTAGATATGTACACATTTTAACAAAATTAATCACAAATATAAATACACTTGGCTACGTACAAACTTAATTACACACAATCAAACACGATACAACTTTTTCGCAAGAAATCTCTAAACAACTCAGGAATTATCAATGGAATTGTGGTGGATTAGCAGATTGCTGCCCATTGCCTTGCATCCCAGGATCCCTAGTTGACTGTTAGCTCACCGCAATCCTCCCAGGAATGAAGTCTTCTCATTGCGCCACAGATGGCAAAGTCGTTCCAATGCTGATGAGCTGATCACTCATCACATTGCTGCCTCTGCTGTCAAACATTAACGACTTTTATTGGAGCTTTCTCTAAGATACCCACAAAGTCCATGAATTACATTCGCTGCAAATGTTGCACCTTAATTGTTGAATTATTTTCTGCAGTGGTTGTGAAGTGATTAAACACCAACCAAGTGAACATACATTTATTGTTAATGACGATCATCTTGCGTGTGAATAAAGCACTCACTATACACAGTACATTAACTTTATATCCTGTAGTGTAGATATACTGTAATCACAGCGCGGCTGGAGCAGTGACACAATGGATAACGCATTGCACTGTGAACCCCGGTCACCTGAGTTCGAATCCCGACCACAGCGAACATCAGTGGCAACACGTGAACCTTTCAAAGTGGTCCCTCTTCAACCCCAGCTTCATCTACCAGCACAATGACCATCATGAGGAAGTATGGTCAAACAACCCTCATGGCACAGTGAAGTACTGAAATTATACTTCTTAGAGTGTATTATGGAATGGAAATACATATATAGTATGATCACAGTGCATTAATAGATTTCAAAAAATATTACTACAACTGTCATCCTTTACAAGTGATTCAAATTGTTCAACATGACATTATTTTCATATTTCCAGTAATCTTATATTTTTTTATCTACAAAGGATTGGAACATTGATAGAGGTGGCTAAACAGGTATGGTGTTGTTTCTTTCTAAGGGAACTGATAAGGCTTTGTTTCGCTACGTCTGTCCAGAACACTTCACTTTTTTTCAACTGAAAAACTCCGAAACCAATGACTATAAAATTTACCATACAGGTTAACATAACCAATGCTCTGATTGGTATAGTTTCATATGATTTTTTGTACAATCATATATCCTTTGCAATAATCTGTAAATTATATTAACCGACAGGCTTTCCAGTTTGTTTGTGTATGCCGTCTACCGCAGTTAGCCCTGATGGGACGATCGTCAAGCAAATTGATAAACACATTACGATAATGACACCTGGGAGGTGGAGCGGTGGGACAGTGGTTAGCATACTTCGCGCTGAACCCAGCAACGCTAGTTTGATTGCTGGACACAGTTAACATGAGTGGCGGGTGATATCTCACCTCCCCCCCACCCCCAACTTCACCGGCGCACGTATGGTCAAACATCTTCAATGACCACAACATTGGGAGGCCTTCATTGAACAGTGGATTGATGAATGCATGTTAATGGAATCGAGCAGGCGCACACAAGGGCTGGTTTGACTGTGATAAACCACGTGTCCCAGTTAATATTTGGGCCACGTGAATATGAATTTATAAAACACAGCTAAGCATTCGTGCAAAAATGTCTTCGGTCCCCATATTTAAGAATTAAATTCAGTCTTTGAACACCGCACAGAAACTTTGAAAACAGCGCCCTCACCTGGAGACCTCCACGTCATACCACAAGAATTCCAAATCAGAAAAATAACAGCATTAAGTGCGGTATTTTAATGTAAAAATAAATCACCGCCTTAAAATGGAAAATATCGTAATCAACGTTTCAGGCAATGGCCCTTTTTCATAGCACATACCTTTGTCTTAGACAAATCAACTTCGTGTGAGCCAACCGCATTAAAACAATGATCAGCCACGGCTGAGGTGTTGGTCCTCCCGTGTTTCAAATCTGCCTTATGCTCACAAACACGATCCGAGACATGTCGCTTAGTTTCCCCAATGTAACGACTGCCCCAGACACAGCTTAGTCTAAGATGATGGTACTTTACAAGCCCACTGGCTATCAATAAAGATTCGTTCATGAAGCCATCCATATATACAGACACAATTTCAACCTAGAGGATGGGTACAAACTCAGCAATAATTGGAAGGACATCATCGGCCAGTTTAAGTCATAACTGGCTGTGATGTGTCCATCTTGTCACCATCCGATGTTAGTTTTATTTTACCAAAGATGGGACAAGGAATTCCAGCTCCTGCGGTGTCGCCCCTGCATTGGGCGCACCACTAGTTGTTAATTTATCCACGTCTCATGCGGCTCTCCCTCTCCTAATTCCCATTTCACGTCTAACATCACCATCTCGATTTCACGTGAACATCATCACCATCTCGATTTCACGTGAACATAATCACCATCTCGGCTTGCGCAGGCTCCAGGCCACTTGTGCCCCGCCCATTTCGTCCTGACACCGGGGCGCCTGGGCCACGCCCACTTTAATCCTCTAAAACTCCTCCTGATGACGATCGTTTGTGTTGCGATCGAAACGTCGTAGTTTTTTGTATAATTTGTTATTTTTTTGAACCTATCTACGTGACTTTACCGAAAGACCCAAATAATATTTGGGTTCCTGTTTCAAGGAGTATCTTGTTGAGTCTCAATCACTGGGTTCATACATTTTCTCGGCTCTTAAGATTTATAAAATTGTCTTCTTGATTATTATTATATTCTTGGTTCTTTCGGTAAAGTCACGTAGAAGGGAAACAATAAAATAATAAAAATATAAAACAATAAAATTCGCACGACGTTTCGACTGCAACACAAGCAATCATCATCAGATGTGAAACCCACAACAAGAAAATTTGAAAAAAGTGGCAGTTATTTTTAACGTTAGCACCACGGAGAGCGATTTTATTATTTCATTGTTTCCCTTCTACATGACTTTACCGAAAGAACCAAGAATATGAATCCCTGCAGTCACGAAAGCTTTAAATCAAAATTCTTGATTATTGTTGAGGTTTGTATCTTTCATCGTGCTTATCAACCACTACCAAGGCAGCATCAGCACGTTTTATGATTTAATCGATACATTCCACGACTTTTCATTATTATTTTAGTGATGTGATAGTCTAAATGGGACCCCATATCTGGCATTTCCACAGCGTTGATTCGGTCCAAGCTAGACTGCTGATGAGACACTGAATGTCGAAACGGGTGCACACTTTTTCTTGTCTTGAATCATTCTTGTCTTGAAGGAAGGCCATGTTGTGGCCGACGAGTCGTGTGAGACACACTTGTGGCGAGACGGGAATGTGAGGGAGACGGAGGGAGACGGACACACGTGAGGAGGGAGACGGGGACGTGAGGAGGGAGACAGACACACGTGAGGGAGACAGACACACGTGAGGAGGGAGACAGACACACGTGAGGAGGGAGACGAGGACGTGAGGAGGGAGACAGACACACGTGAGGAGAGAGACAGACACACGTGAGGGAGACAGACACACGTGAGGAGGGAGACGGGGACGTGAGGAGGGAGACAGACACACGTGAGGAGAGAGACAGACACACGTGAGGGAGACAGACACACGTGAGGAGGGAGACGGGGACGTGAGGAGGGAGACGGGGACGTGAGGAGGGAGACGGGGACGTGAGGAGGGAGACAGACACACGTGAGGGAGACAGACACACGTGAGGAGGGAGACGGGGACGTGAGGAGGGAGACAGACACACGTGAAGGAGACAGACACACGTGAGTAGGGAGACAGACACACGTGAGGAGGGAGACGGGGACGTGAGGAGGGAGACAGACACACGTGAGGAGAGAGACAGACACACGTGAGGGAGACAGACACACGTGAGGAGGGAGACGAGGACGTGAGGAGGGAGACAGACACACGTGAGGAGAGAGACAGACACACGTGAGGGAGACAGACACACGTGAGGAGGGAGACGGGGACGTGAGGAGGGAGACAGACACACGTGAGGAGAGAGACAGACACACGTGAGGGAGACAGACACACGTGAGGAGGGAGACGGGGACGTGAGGAGGGAGACGGGGACGTGAGGAGGGAGACAGACACACGTGAAGGAGACAGACACACGTGAGTAGGGAGACAGACACACGTGAGGAGGGAGACGGGGACGTGAGGAGGGAGACAGACACACGTGAGGAGAGAGACAGACACACGTGAGGGAGACAGACACACGTGAGGAGGGAGACGGGGACGTGAGGAGGGAGACAGACACACGTGAGGAGGGAGACGGGGACGTGAGGAGGGAGATGCACTTGGCCTGCCCTGTCGGGTGATTGCGCCACTACGAGGCCATCTAGATTTACAAACACAGACACAACTTCAACCGAGAGGATGGTTTCAAATTGAGCAATCACTGGAAAGATGTTATAAATCAAGTCAAACGTTAGCTGCCTTTCAATTTGTGTACAGCCATTTCCTTTTCTCAGTGGTTGTATATCAAACTTTAACTACCTTATAATTGAACGACCGTTTGCCGCCGCTTTCAAAAAATGGAGCTGTACACATGAAGCATGTCTCTTCCTCCCTCTGACCCCCACGCAGCATAACAAAATGTGGGTTTTACCCACTCCCGTGCAGTGCCAAGTGGCTGTTACCCGCAGCAGCCTATCAAAAGGCTGCTTCACCCGGCCCTCCCACCCAGCCACGCCCCCTTGCTGACTCCTCCCCCCCCCCCTTAACCTGTATATAATCCCGGTCGTCTCTGAACTGTGCTCCTGACACAGATATTCTGCGTTGACTTTTCCACCTGAAGATGGCAGCTTGTGTTGCCTCCGAAACGTCGTGATTTAATTGTTTAATTTAGTTTAATTTAGTTTTATTTTATCTACGTGACTTTACCGAATAAAACCAAAGAGTATGCGCCCCCATCGCTTCTCGGGCTCCTTAGGGTTCAACCATCACCATCTTTCGGCTTCCATTTTGGATTCTTAGGTTTCCACGCTTGCGTTCATTTTTTTTGTTCCGACCGCAATTTTCTGTTTGTTGCTCTCCTGTTAACACGGCGCTCCTAGGCAACGCGAATATTAATTTAACTGATTCACAATTTATTTAATTCGCTGTAACCTCTTCGCCGAGCGCGCTTGGCGTGCGTGACGCGGGCGAGGCCACGTGACCCCCCCCTCTTCCCCCCCCTCCCGACTCGCCACATTGAGCGTCGCTAGCCACTGAAAGTGCTCAATCCACGTGGTGATTGTTACTCTGCAGTTCACCTCACGGGGACATGTCTCAAGTGCACAAGAGAGTGAAGGTGAGGCCCGGCGCTCCGTTGGTCGTGTGTCTTGGATCGTCTCCACAGTGGCGTTAACTGCTGGGCGGTTCAGTCCGCCCCTCGCCACCACACGTGGTTGATGGTGGTGGCGACCCGCGTGTTTGTACCACAGAAGCGAGCTCGTTCCTCCCAATTAGCGCTCATTCATTTGCGAAGCTGGTGGTGCCATGTAATTAATGCGTGTGCTCCTGCCGTCTCGTTTGCCTCATGCTTGTGTTGTTGCTGATCACGTATGGAGTCTGCACGCAGTTTGCATTTGGTTCAGCTGCAGGCAATGGGATAACAGTGGATAAAGAATGGTTCTTGATAATGATGACGGTCGCTTTGGGTGTATGCGCTGTGATGTTTTGAGAGTTTAATATGGGACAGTAGCGCAGCCGTCATGCACAGCCCTCGATCTATCTGGATGAGGTTGCCCTCCCCCACGCGTTTCGCGAGTGGTCGTGTGTGGACCACGCGGTGTGGTGGTGGTGGTGAAGAAGGGGCCTGGGAGCGGTGCCGCTGTCAGGCCGCCGCTGGTGTTCGCCCTGGCCAGGAATTGCATTCAGGTCACCGGGTTCATAACGCAGACCCCCCCCCCCCCCCCTGGTAGCCACGCTCAGAAGGTCCACACAGTGGTTTGCTGTACTCCCATCTCCTGGCCACCTTGCAGCCCAGCGAGTGGAGTTCGGTGTTGCACGAATCTGTGTTGTCCTTTCTTCCCCGAGCCATCTAGTCCTGCTCTGCCTTCAACTAAAACGACACATTCGCTAATAGTTCTGCTCTAAAGAGGAACCGTACAACAGGCGACGTTTTGAGTAATTACCTTTTTTTTAGACGAGCAATTGAGTGATTGCTCGTTGGGAGCCTGCGTTAAACAAAGTGTTGTTGGCTTTTTTGATTTAAAGCTTTCGTGACTGCAGTAATTCATATTCTTAGCTCTTTCGGTAAAGTCACGTTAAAATAATAAAATATATATTTTATTGTTTCCCTTCAACGTGACTTTATCGAAAGAGCTAAGAATATATTGTTGGCTTATTTAAAAGGCAATCTTGAGAACGGTTCTAGATGAACAGTCTTTGCATTTCCAGGTGGACGATGAAGTTGCAACAGGGGGCACTGGGAAGGCGAGTCGCCATGGCCTGGATGACATCTTGCAGGAATTCGAGTCGTGGTGCAGCAGCGTGAACCTCGAGCTCAGCCCGAAGGTGCGTCGGCCATTCTTGTGAAGGCATCGGGTTACTAAACTATTTCTTTTCTCACCAGGTAAGGCCCATTGAGGTATGCAGCTCTTTTTCAGAAGCGACCTGTCCAACAAATGATAGCTCATGTGAACATTTATCGTAGCCAAATACTCTAAATGCATGTTTCTAAATGTGGAGGGAAAAGCCGGAGGAACAGGAGAAAAATCCACAACCACGGGGAGAACATGCAAACTCGAAATATACAGGCACTCCTTGACATACCCGATAGATGCGTTCCTAGAACAACACACGCATCTCAAAATCGTGTGTCAAAAGCAATTTTCCCATAAGAAATAATGGTAGAGGGAGTTAAGGAATTTCACTCACACTCGCAGACATAATCGCCGAAATTATCAATCTTGATTTGAAGCTTTCGTGACTGCAGGAATCCATACTCTCTGGTTCTTTCTGTAAAGTCACGTAGGTATAAAATAAAATAAAAACGTCACCTATATTATCCTCGCATATATTAATAGGCCGATTTCCAGCGACGCTCCCCTTTTTATATCTCTCTTGGTCCTTCATTCTTAACCTCTCATTCGTTATCCCTTTACCACCTGTTCCTCTCCGGATGTTAGACATCCGGCCACCCGTGTTCTTAATTATCCCTTCACAACCTGTTCTCTTTCTAATTTCTCTCAGCACCTGTGGTCTTTCTATTTTATAAATCTTTAGTAGCTCTGCATAACATTTCTTCTCCATTTAGTCCCCTACACTTGTCACTACGCCGGATTTGCGTTGTGGAGACAAATGGAAGATCGCTGGTGTACACGCCATGAGATGCTGTAGATTGTACACTCCAGTTATTGTACCGCACTAGCTGCTGGCAACGGTGCCAGGCTAGGGTGGCTATGTCGCGTTGCGGATGATATTCCGAAAATTACATCGCGCATGTCAATAAAAGGTCTAAATACGAAGCACGCGTTATTCCAAAATTGCGTACCACATAAGCGCATAAACCGAGGATTACCTCTGCAGGTGTCAGGGTCGGAATTGACCCCACGCCCTCCAGTATACCAGGCGAGGTAGTTAGCGTCTCGCCACCATTGGGCCCAAGGTTAATGTGGGAAGAGTGGAACAGTGCTGCTAAGCAGGTTCCCCCTCACAAGTAGGATAGAGGTGTTGCTGACGAGAACGTTTGTCTCAAAAATGTTTCCTTGTCACAACTCCACACATTTCTGGAGTTGGTCCTAACATCCATCAGCATTGCTCCATATCAGTTTAAAGGATAATATTGGTGAGCAAGCAAATATTGGACAACAGCAGCGTTATTATAACTGGAATTTGAGAACCGCTGTTAGAAATATTTTCCAGAGAACAATGCTGTTTTGGGAGTTGGTGAAATGTTACCAACCCAGCCAAAAGTTTTTCAGTAAGTTCAGCGAGTGTGCTCGATTGTGCTTCTGCATTACGATGGTGATAACGTTGGTGATGGAGGCCATGATGAATACTTTTTCGCAGGTGGTTCTCAGTGAGGATGGCTTGGTGGACCGCTATGGCCTGCAGGCAGTGGAGAATATCTCTGAAGGAGAGGTGCTGTTTTCTGTGCCCCGGGATGCGTTGCTCAGCTCTGTGACTACCTCCATCAGCCAGGTCCTTGAAAAAGGTGCGCAAGTTATTAAGTGGGATTTTTGTTGTTGTGCCTTTCAAATTACTACTATAATAAGCCAAGAATGTGTCCCGCACGTGACGTCACTCCACGAGGCCCACCCCCCCGTGCGACGTCACTCCACATGAGGCCTACCCCTCATTAATATTCATGAGTGGGTGAATTTTTACAAAATTTACACTAACGCACAAGGTTGCGCACTCCATATGCCGCTCCCCTCAATAATCATGAGCGGATGACGTCACTCCACATGCCGCACCCCTCCACAATCATTAGCGGGTGACATCACTCCACATGGGCAACCCCCCCCCTCAATAATCATGAGCTGAACAATTTTTATATTGAATATTTCAGTTTACTGCAATATACACCCATCCTTGGACGGGCAAAAAAGCTAGTTCATAATAAAAACGCATTTCATGCAGGGCCCAAAATTACCAGTTTCAGTTTATTTTTGGTATAGCCCTGTGAGCCATTCGGCTCTTGAATCGGGTGCAACCATAACAAAAAAACAAACACGAACAAGAAAAACATCCTAAAGTGACTGTGACTGTGCAAACAGAAAATCCATTAAAAAAACCAGCAAAATATTTCTAAAAAAAGCACCGTACACCAACGCTGTGTGCAAAAAATCCCAGTGGGATGCAAGTCCAACAACAACCACAAGAAAACTTAGATTAAGGCCATCAGTCTAACTCTGTACTACAACATTGGCACTTTTTAAAACCCAGTACAAGAAACTAGGCAAATAAAAGCCATTGTTGGGGATTCATGAAAACTGCCCATGAATACTGTGATCTGCATTTTAAAACCATTAATTATTCCAAGTACCCTCACCCTTTTGAGACTTTTAATGGGATCATATTAAATAGTTATTAAATGGACGCTTGTGTCTTATGTTTTCCATCTGCAGAGGCTGCCTCTTTGAAGAGCCAGTCTGGCTGGGTGGCACTGATTGTGGCACTAATGTACGAGTTCACCTGCCCAAACTCACGGTGGAAACCCTACCTTGCTCTCTGCCCTGAACCTGATCAGCTTGACCTGCCCATGTTTTGGTGAGTTCGCAGAGCTGATTTGCGAGACCCCAAGCCACGTAAGGCTATGTGGCACCCATTTAAGCGGTTACCATAATGGAAATGGGTTAGACTGTTTTTCTTTTTTGAAGATGCTGTTTAAATATTTTTTCATAAGTATATGTTTTTTATGATTTGTTAAAATTTGCATTTCACATCATTGTACAATTACATTTAAAGTATTGATGCACATTAAGCCCTAACTTTTAATTTTCTAATATTCCATAAGGTTCATTATTTCACCAGCCAGTGTTCTAGTCATCCCTCATGGTCCATTGCTGCTACCATCCATCTCCTGCACATAAACTGCTCTCAATGCTCCATCTCTGTAGTGGTCATCCTCTTGGTCATGTTATATCCTTTGACTGCCACTCTGTCTTGTCCATCGGTCATCATTCTGTCTGGTGGTGTCCTGTCCAAGCCCATTTACTTTTGAAAATAAAATGTCTTAATCATGCTTAATAATTTGTACAGTTAAAACATGAAAATAGATCTCCATGTTTCCTGAATTCACCACACTGCATATCGCTAGGCCGGAGGAGGAGAGAAAACGTTTGCTGCGTGGAACGGGTGTGCCTGAGGCTGTGCACTTGGACCTGGAAAACATCGAACTTGAGTTCAACTCCGTGGTGCAGCCCTTCCTGGCCGCCCACCCTACGCTCTTCGATAGCAAACAACACACACTGAACCTTTACAAGCGCATGGTTGCCTTTGTCATGGCCTACAGGTGTGGAATAGTTGCAGAATGGTGTTAATTGCAGAAAGTAGCCATTTAACAATGTGCCCTTGCGATTTAACAAATTGCACTTTGATTTAAGAATATTCCCCAACTCCCCCCCCATTGCGATACATAGATAATTCGCAGTGGCTGCCGAGTGTACAGGAACCAATTGTAACATAACTACACGATTCAAAAGTAAACAATTCCTATACGATTCTCTGCATCTATTGTGAGCATAGGAAACTATTGTGATTTGATGAATCGATGCATAGTTACATGCTGAGCATAAAAATTGCAGAGTGTGAGATCGAGAGCAGTATTGCACTTGTTAACATGGAGTCTTTATAATGCAGTTTCCAGGAACCTCTGGAGGAAGAAGATGAGGATGAAAAAGATCCAAATCCACCCATTATGGTTCCAATGGCAGATATCCTCAACCACGTGTCAAACCACAACGCCAATCTGGAGTTCACCAAGGTGTGACCAAGCAAGACTTGCTTGCTTCACACATGTAATCGCCATCTTCTGATTTGTATTGAATACTCTTGGGTCTTTCGGCCAAGTCACGTAAATAAAAAATATTGTATTGAATAGTTACACTTGTTTGTTTTGTCTTGTGTGCAGGACTGCCTGAAGATGATATCGACACGCCCTATAGCCAAGGGGGAAGAGGTGTACAACACATACGGCGACCTGGCGAACTGGCAGCTGCTGCACATGTATGGATTCGTGGAGCCTCACCCTGCCAACAACAATGATGCGGCAGAAATCCAGATGACGACACTATATAAGGCCGCACTGCAGGGTAAAGACTATTTCATTGCTTGGATTTAGATCATACCAACCCCATGCAATAATTTAACTTTTGGCTCGGAAGGATGATTTAGATCATACCCGTACAGACCTGATGCTATGTTGATGGGCATCGGATAATTTTAGAGCTGTGCTGTCCAGTGTTTTACATCACTGGTAACGTCACAAAGCTCCTTTGGTTTAGATGACCATAAACACATTACAAAAATCTTTCAAGATCAAATATTTTTCATGTCATTGTGTACTGCTGTAGCTCTTATAATCCACTTGTGTTATTTAAACACCATTGTTAAACGTGCTGATCGAACAGTGTTTGGAGAAAGTAGGAAGCAGCTGGTCGAGAAGAAATGGAAAGTGCTGTGTGAGATGCTGCTGGTGGGCGAGGAGGGAGCGTTCGTTATCGGTCGCGAAGGAGTCCTCACTGAAGAAGAGCTCTACGCAGCCCTCAAGGTCCTTTTCTAAGCCAAATGTCATAATGTTATTGGCTGCCCGCAATGTCTATCTCCATGTGCTTTGATACCGTGCCTAAATAGTCACATCCACTGCTCTCAAATCGTGTATCTGCAAGATCTGTCAAATTTGCAGAGCACATTTGCTTCCGTAAATTGCTAATTAAAACACCAGCTCGACACTAACACCTTTCCTAATTCTACATATACTCTGGATGTAATGGGACTTCTGCGACCGTATGCCTGTGTGTGACCTAGGTGCTCTGCATGTCAGAGGACGAGTTGGAGGACTACCAGGAGAACGAGGGGTGGGAGGAAGACGATGCAGCTGACGAGTCGCTGACCAATGAGGCAATTGTGGAGCTGCATCCCATGTGGCGGACACTGTTGGCAGAAAGCATCCGCTTAACACTGGCGGCATATGGCCCCGTGCAAAAGGAAGACGAGGCCATGCTCGCAGACCCCGTGCTCAGTGCCAAGCTGAGCCGCCGCGAGCGATACGCGCTGAACTTGCGCTGCGGACAGACGAGCATCTTGCAGAACTTGCTGCGGCTCACAGAGGGGCAGTTGATGGCCCAAGTCTAATTCCGAATGCGAAGGCTTGATGAAAATTATTTGAACATCTCCCCCCACACCCACCCCTCTTTTGTACATGTAAAAAAAAGGAATGGGGACTGAGCCTTAGAGGAATGCTGCGTGGTGTAATGGTTAGCTAACTGAATATGCAAGCCAAATCAATGGTTAGATCTCTTGACGCAACTGCTGAAAAGGTGGGATAAGTTTCGTAAATCCCCCCTGCCCCACCCAGCAATGTAAATGGGTGCACCACAGTTAAGTCAATTACAGGTCATGTGTGGCAGGGTAAAGTGGGTATTTCCTCTTCTAATTGTGGAATAGGCCAAATTTGTCATACAGGGGGACTCTATACAGTGGAGGTTCTTCCTCCACTCGAGTAAGCAAGCAAAGCGTTTTAATGCGCTATAGCACAGCAGTCGCAATGAAATAAGGTTACAAGGCCAATATACTGTACGTTTGAGCAGATTCCAAAAGGAAAGAAAGCACAATGTAATTGTCTTCATTTTAATGCTATCTTGTTTTTCACGTTATTGTATATTTTGTACAAAATTGACAATGTTCAACATAAATATAAATTCCACGATCACATTGCTTTGCATATTTCGACAGCACAAATGCAGGCACATAGGTTAAAGAGTAACACCTGATCACAATTCAAACTATAAAAAGTTTTTAATAAAAACGAATGCATATATTAAATGAAATCTTATAAATGCAAAGTATTATATATACCAATGAATGACAAGAAAACGGCAGTTGTGGCATTCCATCCTACATTTATTTAGAGGGTTGGTTGGGCTTAGAGTTTGCATTGGTCTCATGCTAGTAGTCCTGCCTTTTGCTTTTTCATGACATTTAACCAGTAGTCATGAGGGATGATGATGACTGAGGCATTTGTCCAGAAGTGGATTGACCTTGGCTGACGATGGTGAGACAGTTAACTGCTTAAATATATATTTTTTAGAATTTTCAATTAACTACTGGAGATTGTTGCTCACCCAGCCTCATGCTAGCACTGAAGGTCATCACCCACCCAGTGGCACTGGGAAGGGAACTATCCCTGCTGCTCTGTCTCCCCGCCTGCGAGTTCTGTTTCTACCGTCTCCACCGTCTCTTCCATTTCCGTTGTCTCTTCTGTCTCCTCCATCAACGTCTCCTCCAACAACGTTTCTGCCATCTCCACCGTCTCCACCACTTCTGTCTCCTCGGTGTTGGCCATCTCTGGCTGCCCGGGCGCGGCGTCGTCCTCCTGCACGTAGACGATGAACTCGGACGATGGCTCACCCTGGCTGTACATGGTCACTGCCTCCACAGCGGCCTCAACGGCCGATGAAATGACCATGTGCTGCACTTCATAGCCCTGTGAACGTGAGACAAGTGGCAGGCACGAGTTAAGAATCTGCCGTGATATTTAGGAATGGCAATTTTCAGATGGAAGGCAATTCCTCTTTTTATGCAGTAGATGCGTACCTGAAAAGTGCTACATTTATTGAAAACATCAGGCAAGGAATTACTGTAAAGAGATGGGGATGAAGTGCAAATTTGAATTCCATTTGCACTATAAAAGCAATCTGCAGTCATCCCATGGTGGGACAAACACTTGGGATGAGGGCACGTCGCGTACTGTATCATTCCTTTGTATACCCAGAATTCCCACCGCTCAGCTGTGCCACTCAGGAATTTAGTTTGTCGTTGGCCACACAGAAACCACGTTAAAACGGGCACGTTCTGCCTTGTGCAAAAAGTGTTCTTGAATTGAACAGTTATCGCAAAAACACGTGTGAAATGTTGTGCAAGTACTGACCGTGCATGCCTCCTCCACCATCACTGTTCCAGGCGTCACGTCTGACCCCAACTCGATGATCTGATGCAGGAGGTTGACAGCTGACCCGCCCACTTGCTCTACTGCGCACATTTTCCATACAAACAAAACCTATGTTTTATTTGTTCCACGGAAAGAATTTAGCCAGGTACCCAGCTAGTTTGCAAAGGATATCTGTGGCAGCAGAGAACAAGAGCATCAAAGTGATGGTACAAAGGATCAGGCAGTGCAGAGGACCAGAATGCAGAGATGCAGGAAAAAAGTGCTTACACAAATGAATATTAATATAAATAGACACAGTAAACTCTTGCAGGTTTTGCGTATGGGTTGGGCGATAAACCGCAGAGCCTGGTGTTTCCCTGACGTTTTCAATGGAGCATGTTTATCAACGAGAGAAATGCCCTTCTAAAGAAAGACCATGCTGTACGCAAAGTATGGATCTTGTAGTCAATGGATACATCGGAATTGCCGATATCATGGGCAAAGACCTGATGATCAAAATAATTCAATAAAGATTATTTTATGTAGGAGTGTTGGTAGCTGAGTGATACCAAATATGATTGAATGATCGCTAAGGTGGCTTCCCCGGACACCAACTTTCACGAACTTTTCAGGAGCATTGAACCATATCGATTATTCAAGTTAGGCCGCCTTGGTGAGCAGATGAGTTTGGAAAGATTTAATTTATTAAGGCTTCAGTTGGGGGGATTGTTCCAGTTTAAGTCACCGGTAATTATCAGCTCTCGGACAGGGGCGGCCAAGGGCGCAGCAGCAGCCATCCTCGGGTGCGGGGTTCTCCACTGCAGTGCTTTGCCACGGCCAATTTCTTGATCTAATCCGGGGTAGCGGTGCACTACCCCCAGAATGTCATTGTAGCTGTTGACCATGGCTCCACACGGATGCCATGCTTAGACTTAGATATGGATCCTAGTTTGAAGAAACCCATTGTTATGATTCGATCTCCCGGTGAAGCAGATTCCTCAAATCCCAGCAGTATACAGTGAGGGAAAAAAGTATTTGATCCCCTGCTGATTATGTACGTTTGCCCACTGACAAATGATCAGTCTATAATTTTAATGGTAGGTTTATTTGAACAGTTAGAGACAGAATAACAAAAAAATCCAGAAAAACGCACGTCAAAAATGTTATAAATTGATTTGCATTTTAATGAGGGAAATAAGTATTTGACCTCTGCATAACATGACTTAGTACTTGGTGGCAAATCCCTTGTTGGCAATCACAGTGGTCAGATGTTTCTTGTAGTTGGCCACCAGGTTTGCACACATCTCAGGAGGGATTTTGTCCCACTCCTCTTTGCAGATCTTCTCCAAGTCATTAAGGTTTCGAGGCTGACGTTTGGCAACTCGAACCTTCAGCTCCCTCCACAGAGTTTCTATGGGATTAAGGTCTGGAGACTGGCTAGGCCACTCCAGGACCTTAATGTGCTTCTTCTTGAGCCACTCCTTTGTTGTCTTGGCCGTGTGTTTTGGGTCATTGTCATGCTGGAATACCCATCCACGACCCATTTTCAATGCCCTGGCTGAGGGAAGGAGGTTCTCACCCAAGATTTGACGGTACATGGCCCCGTCCATCGTCCCTTTGATGCGGTGAAGTTGTCCTGTCCCCTTAGCAGAAAAACACCCTCAAAGCATAATGTTTCCACCTCCATGTTTGACGGTGGGGATGGTGTTCTTGGGGTCATAGGCAGCATTCCTCCTCCTCCAAACACGGCGAGTTGAGTTGATGCCAAAGAGCTCCATTTTGGTCTCATCTGACCACAACACTTTCACCCAGTTGTCCTCTGAATCATTCAGATGTTCATTGGCAAACTTCAGACGGGCATGTATATGTGCTTTCTTGAGCAGGGGGACCTCGCGGGCGCTGCAGAATTTTAGTCCTTCACGGCGTAGTGTGTTACCAATTGTTTTCTTGGTGACTATGGTCCCAGCTGCCTTGAGATCATTAACAAGATCCTCCCATGTAGTTATGGGCTGATTCCTCACCATTCTCATGATCATTGCAATTCCACGAGGTGAGATCTTGCATGGAGCCCCAGGCCGAGGGAGATTGACAGTTCTTTTGTGTTTCTTCCATTTGCGAATAATCGCACCAACTGTCACCTTCTCACTAAGCTGCTTGGCAATGGTCTTGTAGCCCATTCCAGACTTGTGTAGGTCTACAATCTTGTCCCTGACATCCTTGGAGAGCTCTTTGGTCTTGGCCATGGTGGAGAGTTTGGAATCTGATTGATTGCTTCTGTGGACAGTTGTCTTTTATACAGAGTGTGCTCCTAATCTCAGCTCGTTACCTGTATAAAAGACACCTGGGAGCCAGAAATCTTTCTGATTGAGAGGGGGTCAAATACTTATTTCCCTCATTAAAATGCAAATAAATTTATAACATTTTTGACATGCGTTTTTCTGCATTTTGTTGTTATTCTGTCTCTCACTGTTCAAATAAACCTACATTAAATTATAGACTGATCATTTCTTTGTCAGTGGGCAAACGTACAAAATCAGCAGGGGATCAAATACTTTTTTCCCTCACTGTAAGTAGTTGCAACACAGTTCAGTAACTCAATGTCACGAAGTTGATGATGACTGTCCCACAGATCTATAAATTATCCACACCTGACAATTGTAACAGCAGTATTGGAAATGTGGCATCTCATTTGTTGCTGATTATCAGACATAGGCACTGAGTCAGGAATAGATTAGCTTGCATTCAGATAGGTTGCAGGATCAGTTCTGATGTGAGTTATTGATATAATTATTGGCCTCAAGTGCTGAAGTATCAATTGGGTCTGATAGCCCATGCAAAAGGAGTCAATCCTAGCAAAACAGATGGGGGTAATGAGCCAATGGGGTGGTAGTCTAACTGCCTGGAAAGTATAAAAAGGCCAACTAAGCTCAGTTGAGAAAGAGTGGCAGCATCTGGCGCTTGACAGCACAGCTTTCCAGGAGGACAAAGGCAGCCAGGAGATGCAACGACCAAGAGTGGGGAATTGGTGCTCTGGTGAGGTCCAGTATCTAAGACTACATTAAACTTCACACTCGCTATAAAAAGTTTGAGCTTATGGCTGGGGGATCCTCATGGTGTTTACAGGTTTTTTTACAGGGTTTTGGTGGGGGGGCCTGTTGAGCAGAGATCAATGTGGGGCACAGGTGAGAGTGCGGCCCAGAGACTTCGGAGGACCTACCTTGGCATTCCCAGCTACACAGATTTCTGGTGGGAGGAATCATGATGAGAATCTTGTTTGTGGTCATGCGTGTGCCGTGTTAAGTATCTTGTCTCGCAAATGAGAGTGAGCATCAGCGAGCACTTGAGTTGTAAGAGCTCTGACGTGAAGGATGAACACACCAAGCGGTGCGAGTGAAAGTGTGAGATTGCGTAGGTTTGGATGAGTTTCGGCAGTGTGGTATGGGTTGTAATGACACGATGCCCCCACTGGTAAATTGGGATATTTATCTGGATTGAGCAATATTGAAGACAATGCAGGAGTTGCTCAACACACTGCTCCATGGAAAGTAGTGCAATCTGGGCAGTGACGTTAGAGTAAGTTTGACCATCTGTTTTTTCATGTCAACATCTTAACGGGGTAATGGCAGAATATGTAATTGGTTCGAATTGTGATATACTATGGCAAGCTACTGTTCTAGCCTAAGAGATTGTAAGTAAGCATGGACTGGTGTTACCACCCACCGCTCTCTATCGTGTAGCGTAGGTCCTGCAACGCGGCCACTGCTGTCTCCGTGCTTCGTGCTTCCTCCAGCTCCTCCAAGTGACTGGCGGTGTCCACTGACAGCACCAGGGCATGCTCCTGCGAGCACCAGAGCAGAAGGCCATTTTACCATAATCTGATGCGTCACAAACCCCAAGCGTCACAGCGCTATTAAACGACAGTCACAGCGACCTCCCGCAGTTGTGTTT